CTCTCTCTCTCTCTCTCTCTCTCACACACACACACACACACACACACACACACGAATCTTGTTTAAGGAGGCTTTTGACTCCAAGCTGACTGCATGTGTTATGTTATCATTTGTTCTCCAGCATCCTGCTAATCAAAGACATCAGTAACTTCTCAGCAGCTCATGAGCACCTGTGAGTGCCAGGCTCGGTTCCAGGCACAGAGCAGAGAGCAAAGACCATTACAAAGTCCCTGCCCTCACGCCGCTTTTGTCTCAGTGGGTTGAGAGAGATGCCATGTAGGACAACTAAGTAAAACACCTAGTGCATCAGATGGCGTTAAATGCTATGTCAAAGAATGCAACAGGCAAGGGACGTGGTTGAGGGGTGGAGTCAGGGGATGTGGGGAGAGGGTGGTCAGGGAAGGTGTCCCCCATAAGGTGTCATTTGAGCAGAAGGAGGTATGGGAACAGCCTCACAGACTCCCAGGGGAAGGGCAATCCAAGCAAAGGGAATAGTGAGTGCAAAGGCCCTGAGGCAGGGTCATGCCTGTGGGCTTGATGAATGCAGGGAGGGCAGTGCAGCTAGAGTGCAGTGTGCAAGGGTTAAGGTGGTAGGTGAGGGTGGAGAAGAAAAGGCAGAAAGGCAGGGGCCAGATTAGGGATGGATGAAATGACTCTGGCTTCTAGCCTGAAGGAGATAGGGGAAGCCACCTGATGGTTGTGGCAGAAGCACAACTTGATCTCAGGCACAACTTAACAGCAAACCAACTCCTTGCCTCTGCTGGGGCGTCACCTCTTCCAGGAAGCCTTCTCTGGCCCTCTGGGCTTCCCTCCATCACAACAATTATTACCATCTGTGCTTTTGACTGTCTTTGCTCCTCCCTACTCACCCAGGAGGAGACTGTGCTCTCCCTGGAAACCAGGACAATGACTGTCTCCCTGGTATCCCTAGGGGTCAGCTGGCAGCAAGTGCCCAGAAATAAATGAATGAACAAACGATGAACCATAATGAATGAACCATAATATATATTGCACTTCCTATAAAGTTGGGAGTAGCTCAGGCACCCCTGTCAATTCATTCCTGGACCCCCAGTTGTCCCGGTTGAGGCTTTAGTCCCTTGCTCCTAAGGGGAGGCTCCAGCCAGATTTAACTGTGAGGGGCCCTCGGGGGTGACATGTGGTGGCCCTGAGAAGGAATCACAGCACCTGGGAGCTGTGAAGCTCTGAAGAAGGGTCTTCAGAGGCCGAGAGGCAGACCTGCGCCTCCCCTGCTCTCTTCTAGGGAAAAAACAGTCCTTTGAGTACAAGGTGATCCTGGGGCCCCAGCAGCCTTCTCACCTCCTGGAGGTCCCGGGCGGCCAGCATAGCACAGACTTCTACATGGAGGGCCTATCTTTCCCAGATGCCAGCTTCCCAGGCCTCATTTCCCTCACCATCTCCCTGTTGGACACATCCAAGCCGGTAGGTAAAGATGGCAGCCGAGGGGAACCCTGGGCTTCCAGGCAGAGGCCCAGCTGTGGGTGGGTGCAGAGCCCAGCAGGGGAGGGGAGGTAGGTGTCGGGCTCTGGCTGCTGAAATAGCCTTTTTCCTGACCCTGTCCCTGTAGGAGTTCCCCAAGGCCCTGGTGTTCCAAGACAGTGTGGCCTTCCGTGTGGCCCCCTGGATTATGACCCCCAACACTCAGCCTGCAAAGGAGGTGTACGTGTGCAGGTGAGGGGCCCTGGAGTGCCGGGGGACGGGGGTGGGGGGGCAGAGCACAAACACACCAGGAGGAGCCCTGGACCAGGACGCAGGAGCCCAGGGTTCTGGCTGCAGGACCACCATGCACGTGCTGTGTGAATGGGAAGAAAGTTGTAACCCCTGCTGTGACTCACTGAGGGCTTGGGGCTTGTTTTGGAACCATTAAGAGGCCGGGGAAATTACTGTTGCTGTTTTTGTGATGGTTGTCTCGCCCTGATGCCGGCTGAAGGCTGCTTGAAGGGCCCTCCTGATTTAGGGCCTATAGAATTTGCTAGACCTGCAAGAGGAGAACCCTCAGCCCGTGAGCCAGGCTTCCAGAGTTTCTCAGAGTGTGGCCCTTGGACCTTCTGCACCAGAGCCCCCTAGAAACTCATTTAAAATGCACGTTCCTGGCCAACCCCTGAACTGCAGGGTCTTGTCTCTGGGGGTGGGCTCACCTGCATTGTGACAAGCTTCTCTGAAGAGCCTCGGCGTCCAGCCTGCAGTCTAAGGGTCCCTGTTAAATAGGCAGGGGTATCAGGGGGGTTCCTCCTCTCTCCTTTTCTGATTGCTTCTGGGGCAGAAGGGGTGAGCGTGTAACCTGGTTGTCAGGACACAGGCTGAAAGCCAGAGAGGCCTGGGTTCTAATACCAGTGCTGTCCCAAATGGCGTGACCATGGGCACGGACTGCCCCACTCTGTCTTCTCCTCAGTGGAAGAGGCTACCCACTAGTTCTTCTCATGGATTGTCTTAAGGGTCCAAGGAGATAATGCTTGCTAAGAACAGAGAGACAGGATGAGCCAGGCAACTCCATTCAGGCCACAGGCATCTCCTGCGCACCCACTGTGTGCCTCCCTGACTCTGGCCAGGCCTGAGCGCCTGCTCCACCCCTTAGGGACCCAGCTTACCCCTTCAGAGCCAGGCTAAGGCCACTGGCCGCTGACTTCAGAATGCTGAGGAGCTTCTTGTCTGCTCTTTCTAGTATATCTGAAAATGAGGACTTTGTGATGTCATTGGGTGCTCTGGCCAAGAAAGCCAAGTGCAAGCTGACTATCTGCCCCTTGGAGGAGAACATGGAGGACCAATGGATGCAGGTCCGTGGTTCTGTGGGGTGGGTGGGCTGGGGCACACAAGATGAAGGTCCCTGAGGGGCTCAGCCTAGAGCCTCACTACTACACTTCCTCAGACGGGCAGGAAGTTAAGAGCCTCTGAGGGTCCTTGCATAAGGCGACTCAGGCAAGTGATTCAGCTGACATTTACTGTGGGCTGCTGCATGTCCACCATAGTCACCAGGATGAAAGCCACCTTCCTGCTTAAAACTCTCAGACGACCTCTGGAAGTGATTCAAGGTCAGGGAGCTGGAGCTCACCGGGTCCCTTTAGTGACCCTTCCTCCAAGCCAGCCTTCTAGGCTCTGCTGCTAGACCAGGCCACAGCACTGTCCATGACCCCCACTTCCTCCTCCTCAGCCTGCCTGCAGGGCCCTCCCAAGCTAGCCACCTCCCTCTGCCGGTGCCAGCCAGCTGCCACACTGGCCACACTGCTTCACGATCTGTTTCCCTGCCGGGCTCCCCCATTGTGCCATGAGTTCCCTGAGGCCAGAGCCTGGTCTCATTCAGCTCAGCACCCCAGTGCCTGGCACTGGGCAGTGCCAGTGGACAGTTGGTGGGTTGAGCCAAACTTTCTTGCTATGCCCTTGCTTTGCCTTGGGACTCTGCCCTTCCGTGCCATCTACCCTGCCGCACCTCCATCCCCCAGCCCACACTGTGCCTTCCCGCTGACAGCCCTTCCCACTCTCACCCCCCATTTCAAAATCATACCTGTCCAATCCCAGCTCTAATGCTCCCCCTTTGTACACCCCCCAATCCCTCCAGCAGGGATCTACCCCTCTTTCTTCTAAGCCCCCAAATAACACCCTCTCTCCCTTTCTAGTCACTCCCTCTGTGTTAATCTGGTCGAATCATATGAAATGGCTGATATGCCACCACTTCTGAGCTACAAGAATGGCAATTTCACATGGTCCAGCCTAATAGTGATTTATGTTCAACGTCACCTCTGCCTGCTAGAATACAGGCAGGATTCGCACCCGATTCATTGCTGAGCCTGCCCCCCCCACACACACACACACTCTGCTCTGCCCCACAAGCTAGGCTGGGGTCTAACCTGCTCCCCTTTAGGGCAGGGCCACTTCTACCCCTGCCCTGTAGGCCTCAGCTCAGCAACGCTCCCCTCACAAGCCTTCTCTGACCTCCCAGCCACATTGGGAACCCCTCCTCTGTGTCCCTCCCTTCCTTTCCATCACCTCCTAACGCGAGGTGGTAAGGGCTCAGCTCCCTGGATCTCTCACTTGGAGGACAAACCCGGAAGCTTGCTCACCATGGGTCCCCAGCACCTGGCGTGGGGCCTCACCAGGAGCAGGAGGGAGGGGCACTGCAGGATTTCAGAACACGTTTGAGCAGACAGTAAGTTCTGCTTTCTCAGAGCCCCTCCTCTGGGGTCCAGCGTCCCACACGAATTTGCCCTTGGCCACAAGGGGAGAGAGTGCGGATGGTTCCACATCCCCCCATCCCTGTGCAGGGTGCCAAGACCCAGGCAGCATGTGTACCAGCCCCACTTCCACCCGCTCTGCGCAGGATGAAATAGAGATCGGCTACATCCAAGCCCCACACAAGACGATGCCAGTTGTCTTCGACTCTCCGAGGAACAGAGGACTGAAAGAGTTCCCCATCACACACCTGCTGGTAGGTGCTGGTGGGGCACCAACGGCTGAAACCCCCTTGCTTTGAGGCCTCCATCCTCACTGCCTGTCTCCCCACACCCCCACCTTCCCTCAGCTGAGCGCCCCAGCCCCTGAGGTACAATTCCTCCTCAAGCGGCAATCACACAGGTGGGCTGTGTGATTTTTGTTATAACCGTGGTGAGATCTGGCTGTTCCTTTCCCAAAACCCTTTCCAGCTGAGCTCACCTTCTCTAGATAACCCTCCAAAGATGTAGGTCGGGCTTGGGCATTCGTGTTCCACTGAAGATGCTCTTGCTGCAAGGTTGGGGTGGGGCCAGGACTGGAACCTTCCCCAACGTTCAGCTGCAGGCTCTGGCCTTTGGGTGGGATTTGGCCTTCGGAAGGTGGGGTGGGGGGGGCCTCTGTCTGGAATATGGGGGGGAGGGGAAGTTCAAGATCAGAGTGGTTATTTCCTAGATGTGACTTTATCAGCCAAAGACTCTACATGTTTGGGGGTGGGGGTGGAGGGGAGGTAGTGGTGACATATTGTTAAGTCATGCTTGACTAGCCTGGCACATTCCTGCAAACTCAGCACAAATAGTTACATTTACTGAACACACATTCTGTCAGTCACAGGGCTAAGTCCTTTACATGCACTGACTCATTTAATTTGTCTGACAGCCTTTGATGTAGGTGCTATCACTAGGCCCATTTTATAGATACAGAAACTGAGGTTCAGAGAGGCGAAGCAGCTTTCCGAAGGTCACACAAACAGAGAAGGGAGAAGTTGGAGTTCAGACCAGGCCAGGCCAGCTCCATGCTTTCCCAGGAAGAGCCCAGGCCTGCACCCCGAGCCCTTTGACAGCCCCTTGACTCCAGGTGCCCAGGAAAAATGGAGGAAAGAGTGTGGGGTGCAAGGGTTGCTGTGATGAGTGGCTTTCCAAGGAGCACCCTGCACCTCAAGGGAAGGGGAGGCGACCCTGCCCACACAGGTGACTTTGGGAGGAAACCTGAGTTTAACTCAGCAACTTATCCTACTCTCGCTCCCTCTCCTGTGCTGAGCAAGGCCGGTGTAGCGATCCTGTGGAGTTCACAGTATCTGTCTGCCACAAAATGAGGTTAAGCCTGTTTTAGGAGCAATGGGATAAATTAGGTAGGTGCGCTGAAACTGAGGCTCTATTCCTGGTTTCAGTCCTCCTCTGTTCAATGGCCTCCTCTCCTACTTTGATATTTTATGTGTGACATAGGCCAGATTTTCTGATGTCACAAGCCAAACCTCCAGTGTCCTGCCAGACAGATGAACAGATAGACACCTCAGCACAGGTGTCTTTACCTTTCCCACAGCTAGCTTTGAATAGAGCCTGGCTGTGATGGCCTCTTAGCCGAGGACGTCTGTCGTACTCCAACTCAGATCACTCAAGAAAGGAATTGGAGTAAAACTGAAACTCATCACCCGGCAATACCACCCCCTACTTCTCCAACCTCATTGTAGGCCATTTTCCCTGCCCCTTATCTGGCTCCAGCCCCACCAGCCCCCTCCCTGTTCTTTACATGTGCCCAACTGATACTCACCTCAAATGGCTATGGCCTTTGCATATGCCATTCCCTCTGCCTGTAATGCTGTTCCCAGTCCAAGTGTCTGGCTGCTTCTCAGCCTTCAGGTCTGAGCTTCAGTGCCCTCCTTTGTGAGGCCGTCCTGACACTGAAGGACACCCACCCCAGCCACTGGCCTTCTTGACTACAGCTCCCTGTGGGTTTCTTCCCAAGAGTTTTGTTATAAGGCACTGGTTTGTCATTTACTTTTCATTGCCTGCTTCTTTGCAGACTGTAAGTACTAGGAAGTCGGGGCCTGAGGTCCTGGTGTCCATCCCTGTACGCTGGGCACTTAGCACACAGCATGACACACACTGGGTGTTCTTCCTGTAAGACAATCTCAGCGACTTGAGTACCACAGCTGTAAATGGAAAGTCAGTACCACTTACCGTGAATAGGAGGCAACCATGAAGTTCTACAGAATGAAAACGGAAGAATCTCAGCTCGAAACAAATGACAGCAAAACCCCTGAGCCACGGTTTTGTTCTCAGTTGTTAAAGGGGAGATTAGCAGGTGTTAAGGAGGGATTTGCTCCACTCTGGGACTTGATTGTAATTTTTGACAAACCAGAAAGAGTGGAGGTGAACCAAAATGGCAACACCTTTCTAAGTCTGCGCCGGAAGCTGTAGCAAGTAGGACCTGTGAGCATCCCTGCATGTCCCACTCTTGGGGGGCCACTTCTGCAGACTATGGACACCCATTCATTTGCCTGCAGCCTGTGGATCGTATCTCCTCTGGTGGCAACAGCCAGGGCAGGGGTTTGGATGAATTTATTGTTCATTCATCAAACATTCTTTGAGCACACACTCCTGTGCCTGGCCCCGTTGTAGGCGCTTGGAATACATCAGTGAGCGATACCAAGACCCCACCCCACCTCACGGAGCTGACATTCTAGGCAGGAACAATCCTTAGGGAACAGCTGGGATGCCAGAAGCGGTGAAGCAGCGCAAGCAAGCAGGAGAGGCAGTCAGAGAGATGGTGGGGGTGTGGTGTGGTGCAGGGGACAGATCGTGTGGGCTTGTTGGCCATTGGTTTAGAATCTGAGAAACTGGGGAATCATTGCAGGGTCTTGAACGGAGGGAGATTATGATCTGATTGATGTTATCAAAGGGAACCTCTGGCTGTGTGTTGAGAATGGACAGCAGAGGCCAAGGGCAGGAGACGGGAGAGTGCGGGGGAGGCTGGTGCAGTAACCAGGTGAGAGACGATGTGAATGCAGAGCAGGGGAGGGGTGAGCAGTGGCCAGACTCCAGATATGTTTTGAGGGCAGAGCCAGCAGGGTTTCCTGACCCGTTGTGTGTGAGAGAGAGAGGGTAAAGGTGACATCAGGCTTTGACCTTTGTGAGATGCAGGCACCATCCCCTGACACAGGGAAGGACTGTGGGAAGAATGGGGGTGGGGGAGGGGAAGAGGAGGTCAACAGTTCTATTTGGGGCAAGTGAGACACCCAGATGGGAAGTCAGGCAAGCAGTGGATCCCTGTCTGGAGTTTGGGAGAAAAGTACAGGCTGGAGATATAAATTTGAGGTAGTCAGCACATGGACGGCCTTTCCCGAGACTGGGTGAGATCGCCGAAGGAGGGAGTGAAACTAGAGAATGAAAGGAGACAAGCACTGGACCTGGGACCCCGCAGTGCACAGGAGACGGAGAGGAAGCAACAGTGAGGTAGGACCCAAGAGTGCGCGGGATCCCCAAAGGCCAAGTGCAGAAAGCGTGTGGAGGACGTGGGGGTGACCCGCTGACTCAGATGCTGTTGGTAGGCAAGGAAGACGAGGCCTGGGCACTGCCCAGTGGGTTTAGTTGTGTGATCGTGAAGACGAGAGCAATTTCTACGGCACGGTGAGGCTGGAAGTCAGGTTAGGATGGGTTTTAGACAGAAAGGGAGGACAGAGAGGACTTGGAAGTGATGGTTTTTAAATTAGTGGCGTCACAGACCACCTTGAGACGTAAGGGGTTGTTGGAAAAGTCATGACATATTTTTTCTATGTTTTTCGTTGCAAAAATGTATCACGACTTTTCCAACAAACCAATGTCTTGTCAGGAAAAAAAAAATGCACTGAAGCTCACGATTTGGAATCTGCTTTCAGGGAGCCTGTGACCCCCATGAAGACCCAGGGTACAGATCATGGATGTGTAGAAAGCTAGAGCTACTGCGGTAGACTGAATGATAGCCCCTCAAATATGTCCACATCCTAATCCCAGAAGCTGCTGCTGAGGGGACTTTGCAGATGTGATTGAGTTAGGGCTCTTGAGGTGGGGAGGTTATCTTGGATTATCTGGGTGGGCTCTATATAATCATAACACTCCTTATAAGAGGGAGAAACGAAGGTCAGGGTAGGAGAAGTGATGATGGAAACAGAAGCTGGAGTGAGGCACTTTGAAGATGGAGGAAGAGGCCACCAGCCCCAGGTGGCGACAAGAAGCTGAAAAAGGCCAGGAAGTGGATTCTCCCCGTCAGAGCCTCCAGAAGGAACCAGCCTGGCCGCACCTTGATTTTAGCTCAGGGAAATTGATTTCAGACTTCTAACCTCCAGAACTGTGAGGATAAATACGGGTTGTTTTAAGCCACTAGATTTGTCATGGCAGCAGTGGGAAACTCATACAGAGGCTGAGAGAAATGTGTCACCTCCCGGGCCTTCTCTCCAAGATCCATGTGGAGACGTCGCAGCCACAGCCATTCCGCAAAGCTCATTCCAGCCCCAGGTCAGGGTGTGGACTGAGAGAGACTGCTGTAGAGATAGTTCATGTCTTGGTCCTTCCACAAACTTGCTGTAGAACCTGAAGAAGCCACACAACCACTCTGAGCTTAGTCCTTTCTCTGCAAAATGAATGTAAAAGGGATATTTGTGGATTTGTTACTATTTGCCCAAGTTAAGGTTTATGAAGCGGCTGGCAAGCATTAGAAACTCAACACACTCTAGTTCCTTTTCCTGCCATCCAGTTCAGCATTCCTTTGACATTCCACAAATAATAACGGTGCCTGCTATGTACCAGCTGCTGATGGTTGCTGAATTCCTCCCTGTGGCCCGAATTCATCTTTAAACTTGGACCCCACCCTCTCTTCACCCAGGGCCTAAGTTCTCTAACTGTTGGCATGTGCTTCTCCCACCTCAGGGTCCAGATTTTGGCTACGTGACTCGAGGGCCCCAAACAGGGGACATCATTAACAGCCTTGACTCCTTTGGAAACCTGGAAGTGAGCCCCCCGGTCACAGTCGGGAAGAAGAAATACCCACTGGGCAGGATTCTCATTGGGGACAGCAGTTTCCCCAGGTGAGGATGGGAGGGGCAGAGAGAGGTGTCCAGGACCCCGAGGCTAAGGACACGCAGAGGCCAGAATGAAGCCTTCCTTACTTGCTCCCAACCCACGAGGGCTCAACAAACTTGAGGGCATGTGAGAGGAATCAAAGTACGGGGCAAGGAATACGGGGTTCGGATCCCGACAGACCCAGGTTTAACTTCCAGCTGGGCCACTTACACTCTTTGGGTCAGTGACTATTTGCTGAGCACTTACTATGTGCCAGGCACTATGCTAGGAGGTGGGAAGGAAAGCAGCCATGAACATGACAGGTAAGTCCCTACCACTATTCTAATGGGGGAGACACATAAGAGAAAAGCAAACAAATAAGATTATTTCAAATAGTGAAGAAAACAAAAAAGAGAGAGGCAGAGGAGGAGGGGGAACTATGTTGGTTAGGGTGACCAGGGAGGGCCTCTCTGGGGAGGGGGGTTTTGAGCTGAGGCCTGATGACAAGAAGGATATGGCTGTGTGGCGATCTGGGGTAGAGGGTTCCTGGCAGATGAAAGAGCATGTGCAAAGGCCCTGAGGCAGGAAGGAGCTTAGCAGTGTTCAACAAGGCCAGAGTGGCTTAAACAGATTGAGCAAGAGAAAGAGCCAAGGGCTAGATCACAAAGGCCCATGAAGGAAACCAAAGCTCAGAAAGGTGAAGCACATCCCCAGGGCCACACAGCTAACGAGATCACCAGCTCGGGTGGGACCAACTCCAAACCCCATGTTTCCTCCCACCAGCACCAGGGCTGAGTCAGTAGGCGGTGCTTTCTGAGGCTAAGCTCTTGTTCTATTTACCTTACTGACTCCATGCCCCTGTTTCCCCTATAGAACTGGGGTGACAATTCTTCAATTCCTCAAATGTTACGGGATATACTAAAGGCAACCCAGGCTCCTGATCCCCTTTGCCAAGCCTCCAGTCCCACCGAGACCTCCCTGTTGAACCCCCTCCCCACCCCCGCCGCCCCCTCCCATAACACTCCTTTAATCCTGTGTGGGCAGCATTAAGAGCCAAGAGATGCACCAGGCCCTGCAGGACTTCCTCGCCGCCCAGCAGGTGCAGGCCCCTGTGAGACTCTACTCCGACTGGCTGTCTGTGGGCCACGTGGACGAGTTCCTGAGCTTCATTCCGGTGCACAAGAAGGTGCAGTCTGGGGGCCTGCCTGAAGGAAGCCACACGCCTCTTTCCTGGGTTCCTAAGCACAGCTCTGTACTCGGCGTGGGAGGACTGACCTGGCATGCATGCCTGACACCGTGTTTCCCTCCCCACCAGGAGGGGGCGTGGAGGAGGCTGCCGGTCTGGGTCCAAGCCCGTACTCCCTGCACCCTCCGCAGAGCCCTTCTCCTTGGAAGTCCCATGGGCAAAGCTGTTCTCTGACCCTCGTGTTTCTGCCTCTAGGGCTTCCGGCTACTCCTGGCCAGCCCCAGGTCCTGCTACAAACTGTTCCAGGAGCAACTGAAAGAGGGCCATGGGAAGGCTCTGCTTTTCAAAGGGGTCAAGAGTAAGTGGGCCATGCCTTGTTCTTTTATCCGGTTACCGTTACCTTCCTCTCTGCCTTCACCTGGTCTCCTGTTGCCAGATGGAATCCTTCAGGCAACAGGTATCTTTTGAGCACTCACTGTGGGCCTGGGGACACTGCATGAATTGGGCCAGGGGAAGTGAATCAAGAAAACAACTACAGGGGTGACCGGTTAGCTCAGTTGGTTAGAACGTCGTGATGATAACACCCCAGGTTCCCAGTTCGATCCCCGCATGGGCCACTGTGAGCTGCGCCCTCCCTAAAAGAGTCAACTATGCCATTGTAGCATGAAAGCCATGTGTAACCAAGGACCACGGCTGTTCCCCAATGATATTTTTTTAAAAAAAGAAAAAGAAAACAACTACAACACAGGGAATCCGGGGGGGTTGGGGGTGGGGAGCGTGGCAGGAGATCAAGGAAGGCAAAGACCAAGCAGGAACATGAGAGATGAGCAGGCGTTGGCCAGGAAAATGGACAATGGGATGAGAGGAAGAGAAATATTCCAGAGGGAACTGTGAATGCAAAGGCTCAGAGGCAGGAAGAAGCAAGATGTGTTTAAGGCCCTGAGAAAAAGTTCAGTCTGGCTGGAGCACAGAATGAAATATTATTTTTTTTTCAGTAAAGTCTACAGACAGGGGCCAGGATCCGAGGTTGCGAAGTTTCCATGGCTGAGAGTTTTCACCTAATATCTGTAGTATGTCGTGTGGCACTGGGCAATGGTGTGGCCTCTGTTTGCCCCAATAAAATGAGGTTCCTTTGGAGATAAGAGACTTTAAAGGAGTGAGAGCAACACTTTTAATGAGCATTTGCCCTGATAAAACATTGTATTTGAGGCATTTGCCTACCAGGTGCTCGCCACAAACCTGTGTGTTAGGAATTCTTGCTGCCCCCATTTTATAGATGGAAAAACTGAGTTCCCACTGTACCTTCTGGGAAATGGACCTCTGAATTCATCTGCATTTTTTTTTCTTTTTCTTCATGACAGAAAAAAGCCTGCATAACATAACAGACATTCTGTCAAACAAGAAATTGAGAGAACATAACTCATATGTGGAGGTACCAGTCTGGGCAAAGCTAACACCCCCGCCCCCTGCCTCCCCCTCCCCGCCCCCCACGCCCTTCCCTGAGGTGAGAGGCACAAGGCAGAGGCTTCCTGGGGCTCTGCTGGCTCTGTGATGAACAGCCCTGGGATTTGGGTAAATGTGGGTGGAGTCAGAGAGGGGCAAACTCAGTCACCACTACAGGAACCCACACAAGGTGGTGCCCGGGAGAGCTGGAGCCAGGGAAAGACGGGCGACACACTCAGACACAGAGTCAGGGGCAGGAGAGAGGCCAAGCACTGGAGTGATACAGAGCACCTGGAAAGAGAGACAGGATGGGGGGAGGTGGGAAGCAAAGGAGGTGTCCATCACTCCTTCCTGACCCTGTCCCTGGTCCTCGCCCTGGCAGTCCCCACCCCACCTGTGTTGGCCGCCTGGCCAACCCCTTCCCCCACCTCCTCCCCCAGAGCTGCATCGACTGGAACCGGGAGGTGCTGAAGCGGGAGCTGGGCCTGACGGAGCGGGACATCGTGGACATCCCCCAGCTCTTCAAGCTCCATTCAGACCCCTCAGGGACTCTCAAGGCCGAAGCCTTTTTCCCAAACATGGTGAGGAAGTGACCTTTGGAGGTGGTCCACCTTTGCCAGTGGCCTGAGTCAGAGAGGCCAGCTGGGTTCTGGGTGCGGGTCCAGAAAGCTTGGTTGTGTCCTCATCCACTTGGGGTTTGCATAGCTCCCTCGGGCTTACAGAGCCACTGTGGGCATCTGCCAGGCACCCTGGGAGTCAGAGATGATCATCAGCCCCCACTGACAGATGAGGCACAGAGAGGGAAAGTGTCTGTCACCAGAATACACAGCTGGCAAGAGGTGAGATTCAGAGCCAGGGGACCAGCTGCAAAGCCCATGCTCTCTAACCAATAGGCTGCACTGCCTGCTATAGGCTTCCCAGTAGGGGATAAGGTAGGAGTGAGGTGTGGGGGACAAGCACCAAACAATACGCTCTCAGGTTGAGCTAAGCACCATGTAGGGCACCTTTTCAGACTGGATGGTTCAGGAAGGCCTCTCTGAGGAGGTGAATCCAGCACTGGGGGGCTGGGTGAGATTCACCTTTCAGAAGGGTGGACTTGAGGGGGATCTCACCTTTGTCAAGAACTTTTAACTGTGACCCCAAGCACCATCTTAAGTCATTGCTTGTGTTTTTATCATTCCTCTGCCCTGTTACTCTGTCTCTTCAAAGTAATACCCAAGGGCCAGGCAGAAACTTCACCCAGTTCTACTGTGGCCTCTCAGCCACCCCCTCCTCCTGGAGCTGGGGGTTACGGTTCAGGGAAGACCACAGTGGGCTTCAAACTGTGTTCCCCGGGGCCCTGGGGTTCCCAGGCAGTGCACCAAATTCAGTGGTTTGGATTTTTATGTTTTACGCACCGAAGTTCTGAAAAAGATTTTCTTTAGAATAAAGGATTCCTTGGTCAAAACAAGGCAGGAGGGAACACTGCCCTCTCGCCCCCTGAATAAAATCCCTTGGCCCCAAACATTTGTTGCTTTCCCGTTGAACCCAGCTAGGTTTCCCAGCTCAGGAGAGAAAGCTGATGCCAATGGCTGGGAAACGAGGCATCTCAAATGCGGTGATCAGCTTCCCTCGGGCTGGCACTGCCTTCACTGTTCAGAGCCCCTAGAGCAGCGGTTCTCCCTTCCTAGTGCCGCGGCCCCTTAATACAGTTCCTCATGTTGTGGTGACCCCCAACCATACAATTATTTTCGTTGCTACTCTATAACTGCAATTTTGCTACGGTTATGAATCGTCATGTAAATATCTTTTTGTTTTCCGATGGTCTTAGGTGACCCCTGTGAAAGGGTCGTTCAAACCCCAAAAGGGTCGCGACCCACAGGTTGAGAACCGCTGCCCTAAAAGGAGCCTGAACACAAGCCATGGTTCTCCCGGGAGCCCACTGTGGGAGGTGGGTGGAGATGTGGGCATGGAACAGGCACAGAAATTAAGAGCGCAGGGCACTCAGCATGGGCTATGTCTTGTGTGGTGACAATGAGATGCCCCGTCAATGACTCATGACATCTGTGTCCTTATCTAATTGTCACAGCAATGGAAATGTATTGGGCTCATTGTGCTGATGAGGCTCAGAGGGGCGAAGCGACTTGCCTGAGGCCACACAGCTATTGAATAGCAGAGCTGGGATTCAAACCCACGTTGGCCTGGAGCCAAAATCCTGGTCCTTCCATCTCACCAGCCCACCTCCCAATATAATGGAGGCAACAGTCATTTGCATAAGTCATGATATATGGAAAGTACTACAAAAGTGGTCGTCACTTATTCACCCATTCAGCAGATATTTATTAAGCGCCTACTATGTGCCAGGCACTGTGCTGGGAGCTATGGGAACATACAGGAGTGGCTAATTGCCCGAGTTTGGGGATTCACACAGCGGGTGTCGCATTTGAGTTGGGCTCAATTAAGTAACAGAGTTTGCAAGGAGGTGGCAGGTGGGGAAGGAACAGGGACCCGGAGTCTGACAGACTTGGGTGTAAGTCCCAGACTAGCTGGGTGGCCTTAGGTAGCCCACTTTACCTGTGTGGGCCTCAGTTTTCTCATCTGTGAAGTGGGGCTGTTGTTTCCAAGGGTCAGAAGCAGGAAGCACCCGGATAGTGAGGCAGGCTGCCCGCCGCCGCCCCTGACCTGGGATCCCACCTCGTTGCAGGTGAACATGCTGGTGCTGGGCAAGTACCTGGGCATCCCCAAGCCCTTCGGGCCCATCATCAATGGCCGCTGCTGCCTGGAGGAGAAGGTGCGGTCCCTGCTGGAGCCGCTGGGCCTCCACTGCACCTTCATCGACGACTTCTACACCTACCACCTTCGGCACGGGGAGGTGCACTGCGGCACCAACGTGCGCCGGGAGCCCTTCTCCTTCAAGTGGTGGAACATGGTGCCCTGAGCCCAGCCCCCTGGCGTCCTCTCCCTTGGGAAGCTCCTGGCCAGAGGCGCTGGTCCCCTGCAGTGTGGCAAAGCAAGAGCTCTTGGGGATATTTTGGCTCCCCAGGGGGTGGCCGCCCTTCCAGCAGTGGCTTGCTTGCTTCCCTTGTGTGCCACCCAAAGATCCCAAGATGGTGCTGGCATTGCAGACTTAGCTGTGCTGTAAGAAGCTGCAATAAAGTTTTATAATCACTTTGTACATGAGGCCAAGCTATCATTCATTCATTCATTCACTCACTCATTGATTCATTCACTCACTCATTCACTCATTCATTCGTTGTCATGGTTGAATTGAATGTTATAAACTTGAAGGTGCTACCAGGATATGTTGAAGGCCAATGTCCCTGTGTGTGCCTAAGAATTGTGTCATCGTTCATGTTGTCCTTTGAGAAAAAAGCAGCAGAGGAGGGATGCAAGAGCCCAAGGAGGACGTAAGGGTTTGACTGCGAGTCAGGACGCCCAGACTTCAGCGAACCTTCCTTGTCCCTCCCGTTTGTAGGTTCCAGTCCTCCAGCTGGAAAGCCCCACAAAGCGGCACTTGTCCCTCTTGGTTGCTGCTCTGCCACCAGGCTACTTACCGGGGTGTGCTGCATAGTAGGGGCCACGGGGTTTTGCGGAACAAATTCATTAGTCCCATCCATGTCTTTTTTGTATGTTTTCTTTTATGTCCCTCACAGAGGGACTTAGATTCCTCTGCAGAAAATTCAACATGATGACTCGAGATCTTTAAAATTGAGGCCAGATCTGGGCTCTACAGAGCCTGAGATGCTTAGGAAACACCTGGAGATGCTGTTTTCACGTGGGTGGTGCGTGGAGAGCTATGAGGGTGGGAACGACGGACATACAAAGCCTTTGCCCTCACACTGAGAAGAAAGGGGCCCATAAACGCCTTTCCCTGGAGAGAACCAGTTGCTCCCCGCCCCACTCTCCACCCTTCCCCCCCGGATTTGCTGGGACAAAAGTTGTACAGTATTTCTTGTGAACCAGAAGGGCTTCTTGAATGAGAGGAAGCTGGTGTGAGGTGGCCCCAAGACCTCCCTGAGAAGGCTCCCTGGAGCCCCCAAAAGCCGCAGCAGACAAAAGCCAATGGCTTCCCTAGGAGGCTGCGAAGGGATTGAGAGAGAAGCTGGTGCGTAAAGCAGCCCTTGCATCAAGGTAAGTGCAGGTGCGCACCCCCAGCCATTCATGGGGGAGGAGCCTCTGAAGGAGCCAAGGAAGCCCACGTGGAGACAGCACCAATTATTAAATCCTTCCAGCCCCATAGAACACGTAGTGCCCACTAAGCGAGAACTCCCCTGTTTGCTTGCTCTCCTCCCTAACACCCAGCTCCGCCCCCTCCTCCGGAGTCACAGGTCAGGTTCTTGCAGCTTCTGTAACAAAGCACTACAAACTGGGTGGCTAAAAACAACAGAGATTTATTCTCTCCCAGTTCCGGAGGCCAGAAGTCCCTCATCCATTTCACTGGGCTCAAATCCAGGTGCCAGCAGGGCCATGTCTCCTGGGGTGGGTGGGGGTGGGGGTGGGGATCTGAGGGAGAATCTGTTCCCTGCGTCTCCCACCTTCTGATGGCTGCAGGTTTGCCTCGGCTGGTGGCTGCATCACTCCAGTCTCTGCATGTGAGGTCACATTGCCTCCTCTGAGTGTGAGATCTCTCCCTCTGTCTCTCTCTTATGAGGGCACTTGTGATGGCATTTAGGGTCCACCCAGATAATCCAGGATAATCTCTTCATCTCAAAGGCTCCATCACACCTGCAAATTTAGTCACTTCTGCAAAGGCTCTTCAGGATGAGACAACACTGTTTCCAGGAATTAGGACCCGATGTCTCTGCTAGGCTATTTGTTCAGCCTACTACAGGTCAGGAACCACCATTTGCCAGCTGGGGCAGGCAGAAGGGAGAAAAGGAAGCCGCATGCCCCCTTTTCTGTAGCTCTAAGCTTTGCCCCTCCGTGAAACCAGAATGGAACAGGGGGAAGACTGGACTTTATAAAACCGAGTTTGGAGGTTTGCTTTTGTGTGGGGCTTGACTTTGGAACTTCTAAATGGAGATTGTTTGGTGACTGTTTTATGTCTGGTTCACGGAAACAGATTCTGAGAGGGCGATCTGTGGGCAGGGAGGTTTGGGGGCAGGGAGGGGGTGCTCTCAGGATCTGCACCTGGGAAGGAGTGTGGAGAGCAGCAGATGATGAGCCGGGAAGTAGTGGCCACAAAGGTTCCAGGTTTCAGGTAACTCCATGGGGTGCTTTGGGGCTGGGAATGGGCCCTTGGAGTTGTCCTGAATTAAGTAAGATAAGCAGCCTGGCCTTTGTACCCCACATCAGATGTAGCTGCCCTCCAAGGAGGGGGTGTGGCCTTGGGGATCGGCAGAAGACACCCCCAGAAGCCAACACTCACGGCATCTGGGGGAATGTGTACCTGTGCCCTGAGGGGGGTCAGGTGGCACACCGTAGCATCCACCACAGTGACCTAGAGTGACCGCAGGACTTGATTACTGAAGAGTGATTGGAGAACTTCCTGCACTGAATAAGCATGCGCGGAGCTGTGGGCATCCTTGTAAAGCTGCTTTTTGGTTACAAATCTCTTGTTTCAGTTGGAGAGCCTTGTGGATGCCCACTGGGTTATCTTTCTGGGGAGTGGGGTCATTTAGTCATTTGCTGCACAAGAATTTATTGAGCACTTACTATTTTCAGGATTCTTGTGGGTGCTGGGGATTCAGTGGTGAACAGGAGCCCCCTGGCGGGGGAGTAGGACCCCCTCTAAATCTCTCCAAGTCCCTTGGAGGCCCAGAGAAACCAAGCGTGTCCCTTTCCACTATGCCCAGACAGAGCCCTGGCACAAGACGGAGCTGCCCAAGGGCAGGGAGGGACAGAGCTCCCAGGCTGTTTTGCTCCAGAGCCCCAAGCCCAGCCCTCAGCCACCTTTCCACAGTCTAATCACCGCTTCCTCTCAGCCCACTTCTGGCCGCTGTGTGTGAGCAGATGGGCGGGCAGGGTGGGTGACCCCTTAGTGGTGAGAGCATACACATGCTGAGCATCTCCTGCCTGGTTAGTTTTGGCACTTTCAACCCAACCAGGGGGGCCTTTAGGGTCTTCCTGGCCAGCCCCCTGCCTCCAAGAGCACCCATAACAGTGCCACCCCTGACAGTTATGCTACGTGCTTAGAACATCCAAAGAGACATATTTTTACTTTTAATCCTGAATTTAACAAGCCTGGCTGACCGACCCGTCTTCACTCAGCACTCACTTTACGTCCCCCATGCTGTTAACACAGGTTACTCAGCGCAGTGTCATGTGTCAGGGCAAAAGACTTAAAACAAATGCTTATATATAGGATGGTATGGCCCTTGTGGAATACGATACGGCCATAAAAAGGACCGAGATGCTTTTTACATACCGATATGAGGACCTTCTCCGAGTTGTACTATGAAGTGCACAAAGCAAGGTATGGAATATTACGTAGCATGTACTGCCATTTATGTAAAAATAAGGAGAGGATACGTACAGGTTTGCGTGGTCACGCATAAAATTTATTTGGAAAGACACATAAGAAACTGATGCCACTGGGTGCCTGCACGCAGGGGATCAGAGTGGGTGAGAGGCAGAGGGAGGCTTTGTTGCAAGCCCCTTTTGAACTTGGAACCATGTGAAGGTGGTATCTATTTGAGAAGAACGATAGCCCTCACCTGAAACATAGAATGAACACCCTTTTAAAGCCAGCTGGTAAGTCCCTTGGGCTGGAGCAGGCGTTCCCATTTCTTTGCTCAGAGATGAGCAGCAGCTGATATACTCGGCTCAGCACGGGTTCCTCCATTCATTCATCCCCCCAACACTTGCCGAGCCCCTGCTGGGAGCTGGTGACACAGAGGTGGACAAGGAGCTCTTCCTAATCACCTGGGGATGGGACCCAGGTCCCTGGGACACTCCCCAGACCTGCCGGGCCCAGGATGTACAACTTTAACAAGCCCCCGATATCACTTTTGCAACCACCAGAGTCATGAGAACCACTGGTTCAGCGCTTTGCAGGGTTCACCCCATCAAGTTTCAGGAAACACACCCTTTAGAACTGAGGTCCCGTGGTGCAGCTGCCACTTGCCGCAACCCTGACCGCTGCCCCACCCCCTGCAGATTCTTGCTTCTGACAAGTGTCCAACTGAGTCAGTTCTCCAGCGCAGTAGCTGCTCTGCTCCCAGCTGAAGGGCAGAGACCTATACAGCCAGCCTCAGCAGGGTCTCGGATCTGTGGGCACTGGGCTGCCTAATAAATGAGTAATGAAGAGGCTCTGGCCCCACCTGCTCCTCTGCAGCCTCAGTGGGGGAAATCAGTCACACCTGGGCAGCTGCTGAAGCCTCCTTAACAAGGGGGTGGGCTGGAGAGGCCCTGAGCTCATAAGAGGCAGTGTGGAGGCCAGGGTCACCTGAGGCTGTCGTGTTGGATGAGAGTGGTCAGCGTACAGGGCTGTGCCATGTCCTTTAAGAGCCTCATTCGCCTGTCCCTGGACAGCCCTGAACATGTCCTTTGTGTTCTGGGCACAGAAATCTGCTTGGATCTCAGTGGGTGAGGAGCTGGGGGCTCTGCCTGGGCTGGCTGGAGGGTGGGTCTGGCTCCCTTCCTGGGGCTGCCCCTGGGTTATGTAGGGGTCCAGGGTTATCCCCTTTCTCTGCATGTTACCTCTTCACCCTGCTTTAGCGCAGGGAGCCTAGTTTGGGTCTCTAAGGGCCTCCCAGTTCTGATGCTGTAGGATTCTGATCTAAATCCTGCCTCTGCCCCTCATAGGCTGTGGGGTCTTCAAAGCAAGTGCCCTGCCCTCTCTGTTCCCTTATCTGTGAAATGGGGGGAAGGCTGGCTCTTGAAGACTCCTGTCAGTTGGAACTTCAGTGGGGAGGTGATACACTCACAAGAGGCCAGGTCTTCCCTGGGGCCACAGCACTGACCTCCTGAGTCCCAGCCAGGGATCCCTTGTGGCTCCTACCTCACTGGGAGTTGATAAATGTAGCTTTAGTAACTTCTAGAGTGTTGGTGGGAGGGTGGGGTCTGGGCTGGAGCTTGTGGAAGGGAGGACACGGGAGTCCTTGGAGTGGGGGTGGTGGTAAGAGTAAGGCTGAAGTTGCACTGGGACCCCAAAAGCACCCTGACCAGAAGCTAGGGTGCCTCAGCATCCTCTGGAGAGAGAATGAGGAGCCATCTCCTACCATGCCAGCTGCA